CGGCGCAGTTTTTCTTCTTTAGAGCACTCCACCGCCATACCGTTTTTATGGCGGATGTCCTCTGCTTAGGTTATCAACCGCGCCGGAGCACTTGGAGGACTCATTAACGTCACGCCCTGGAGGGCGTCGAATATATTTTTTGCGAAGGGCGACGACGACGACTCGCTCGACTGCGCGGGCTCGGATTGCGAATGGCTCAGGGCTGCCCTTCCTTCAAGGAGCTCGGGCTCGACCTGCGGCTGCTCAAGGCGGTCCAGAAGCTTGGCCTCGAGACACCCACGCCCGTCCAGGCCCGCTGCATCCCGCTCGCGCTCGCCGGCAAGGATGTCCTCGCAAAGGCGCCGACCGGCTCAGGAAAGACATACGCGTATGTGGTGCCGATGCTGCAAAAGGTGCTGACGCGGCAGGACGCGGCTCCGGGACCGACCCTCTCGCCCGGCGCGCTCGTCCTCGTGCCGACGCGCGAGCTGTGCCAGCAGGTCTACGGGGTGGCGCGTGGGCTGCTCGGCGCCGCCGGCGCAGGCTCAATGCGCGTCTCTCTGCTCGCCGCGGCGGCGGACGGCGCGGCGATGCGGGCGGGACGGCAGCCGGACGTGCTGGTCGCGACACCCGCGCAGCTGCTCGCCCATTTGGCGGCGGAGGGCGGCGGCGGCGGCGGCGGCGGCGGCGGCGGCGGCGGCGGCGGCGGCGGCGGCGGCGGCGGCGGCGGGACGCTGCAGCGGCTGCACACTCTGGTGGTTGACGAGGCGGATCTGCTCCTCTCGTACGGCTACGGCGAGGACATGGCGGCGCTCGGGGAGAAGCTCCCGCCCTCGGTGAGACAGACAGACACACACACACACACACACGCACACACACACACGCACACACACACACTCGCACATTGCCCACGCGCGCACACACACACACGCACTCGCACATTGCCCACGCGCGCACACACACACACGCACTCGCACATTGCCCACGCGCGCACACACACACGCACTCGCACATTGCCCACGCGCGCACACACACACGCACTCGCACATTGCCCACGCGCACCGGGCCTCGCACCTCCACCCCACTGGGCTACTCCTGGCCTCGTAGAGAGTCTCGCCTCGTGCCGCGTGAGGGGGGTAGGGTAGGGGGGTCCAGGAGGGACCCCGCCCCCACCCCTACCCCATACGGCTAGAGGCGAGACTTTCTATGAGGCGTGGAGCAGCC